CCCAATTACCCCTGCTGCAAAGCTGAGTGAGAACGCCGTTTTTGTGTGTTAAAAATGTTTTTAAATGACACAGGTAATGTGTGAATACATTCATGCTGTAAAAGAATCAAACAGTGCAGAAGCATACTGACTCGCCCCCTGAGTCAGCACCTCGTCCCAGTCCCCTCCCCCGAGGTAGCCACAGTTCTTGGTTTGGGGGGGGTGTCGTTTCAGTCCCCTCCCTGCACTCACACACGTTTATGTGCAAATACACACATACAAAGCTTTTTTGCAGATATGGGCTTATACAGCGCTTATCGTTCTGCAGCTTCTTTATTCTACATTATAATATGTCTTGGAGATATTCCCATCAGTACTATAGACCTCCTGCATTCTTCTTAATGGCTGCAGAATACTCCAGAATATGCATGTACTATAATTTAGTTAAATATTTTCCCATTGTCTGACATGTAGGTTTTTTGAGTTTTTCAGCATAAAGAATGCTGTGATGAATTTCCTTGTACTGTACATGGATCTTTGTACAGACATATGAGTTTCTGTAGAACAGATTCTGAGGGGAGGTTGCTGGGTCATGGAAGATGGGCCATTTAACATTTTGGTGGCTGTGGCCTTTCTAGCATCTCGGTTCAAAGCGTGGAACGTGGCACCACTTTCTACTCAAGATAACTTGAGGTTTTTAGTGTCAGACGTGCTGGGCCAAGTTGCCAGTTCCATTTCCTCTCGTGCACTTTATAATCCAAGGAACATACACTTAACTGCAATCATAGTAATCAGGACCTCAATTAATCAGGCCACCTTAAAAGAAAGAGGAAAGAGATAAGCTATCAGAGGTTTAGAGAGGGAGGAGGGAAGAAACTTCCAGGGGCTGTCCTGGGGTCAGTGTACATTCAGTCCAATGTCCTGTCCTTTTCACCTCTACATATTTACTTCTGAACAATGAGGACTGATACTCATAATGATGACCCTGACATCTTCTAAGATTCATCAAAGCGGGAGTGAATGGTGCTCGCTAAGACAGGATTTCCTAAAGCAGGAACTGCATATACAAATTCATTTTTGAAGCTTTCTCAACTACCAGGATTGAGACATAAAGTTTGCTGCTTAAGTCTTCGTTAGCAAGGAAAACACATTACCCAGCTCCCATGTCCCCGAGTCCCCAAACCATCCAGTTAATTTTGGTGTATTGGACACCGAGTAAAAAGATACAGAAAAAAAATGGATTCTAAAACTTACTAACGGCCTTCACCAAATCCAGATCATGATCATTTCTCCATTATTCTTCCTGACTTCAACCTTGGCCTCTGGTGTTAGAAAACTGTTGGGTCATCTTTTACTTTTCTGATCATTTCCCCTTCTTGGGAGAATTCTCTTCATCTTTACATTCCTTACTTGTGGGCATTTCTTATATTCAATCTTTAGTTCTTTTCTCCCTGTGTTATCTCTTGGAGAACATATCTGGTTTCATACCTCTCACTCCTAAATTTATATCTCAGTCCCAAATTCTCCCTGAGGCTACAATCCCATGTTGCTAAGTGCTTACTGGGTTTCATTTCCTGGATATCTCACCGTAAAATCAAAACTATCTCATTTTCCTTAATATATAAAATGCTTTTTACAAACCCAGAAGAGAAAGATAAGCACCTATTTTTTAAAAAACAGGCAAAGACATGATTGGTAACTCACATGTACATATGCACAATACACATACATAGTTGAACAATAAAACAAATTTACTCTAAATAATAAAATGCAAATTAAGTGACATGGTATCATTTTTCAGTGATTCAATTCAAAATGGTTAAAAAGCCTCAGAAATTCAGTGCTGGTTAAAGTATGGGTAAACAGACATTCGCATCCTGGTGTTGGAAATAAACATTTGTACTATTCTCTGTTGATTCTCAGTGTGTTCCAAAGTCTCTCCAATGTGTGTACCCTTGGACTCAGCGGGCTTTAATTCTAGGAATTCAGCTGAAGGAAATAATCAGAGACTATGCAAACTTGTAAGAACAAGAATTATTATTTATAATGTTAAAAACGCTAACGTCTAGCAGTGGAATATTGGTTAAGAAAATGTGGTGAATTCCTACAATGGAATGCTATGTGGCCAAAAAAGTAATGTTTTAGAAGTATGCTAAATTACTTAAAGAAAACATCCATACCATGTGAAGTGTCATGTTATTAAGCCAGGCGATGGAAAGGAATATACAGGATTATCCCTATTTTGTTAAAAAAAAGTATACAGACTGTGGGGAAATACATATAAATATTAACAGTGATTATCATTGGAGAATGATGTGATATTATGGGTGATTTTTTTTCTTTATAATTTTCCATATGTTCTAAAATTTCTATAGTGAGCATTGATTACTCTTTTAAAAAACCTGATAAATGTAATTTTAAAATAATTTAGGTGTTTAAAACCAGAATCCTCAACTTTTCCACTAAAGCATCCTTTCCCGGCTTCCCTCTTTCTGTCCTTGGTCCATCAAAGCTCCCAGGCTTTGGACCCTGCAGCCTTACAGCTTTCACCGCCCCTCCCCGACTCCCTCTGCCCCATCACTCACTGTCTCCTCCCTTCTTTAGGAAGGCTCTCAGATTTGTTCTTCCCTCCTGAGTCCCAAGACAGATCAGTTTACTTCAACCAGCATTGTCACATTGCCTGGCTGTCCCTCTGCCAGTTCAACGTTATTGGAGGTGTCTCCTAATATGTCTTCCTGCCCCTACTCCCTCTCTCCTCCCATCAGTCAAGCGCCCTGCAGCTGGAATGATCTTTTCAAAACACTACTTGTATCATGGTCCTCCGTGCTCAAAATACTCAAGATGCCCCTTTCAAAGCCTGTGGCCTAGGGAATAAAGGCCATACTCTTTCTTCCGCTCTTTAGGGCTCTTACAGCGCTGTGCTAGGTGGGAGATAACTGTGGGCACACGGGGGGGCTTGGTGAGTCTTTGACGATGAAATAAATCTTTAAGAGTAAAACGTGGAGTCCTCCCCACTGCCCTCCACTGTCTTGAGTTTGAACATTCCCTTTCCTTACCTTTTGGCACTTGGACCAGAGGCCTTGGAGCACTTGAAGTTTCCTGGTGCTGAATTTGGAGACATAAGAGGCAGCCAGGGGCGATAGAATGTGGCTCAGGAAACCTCCACTCTGAGTCTGCCCCAATTTCCGATGCCTGCTATGTAGGAGGCTCTACTGAGAAAGCATATTGGCTCTCCTGTCTCCGTCTCCCCTGCAGTGTTCGAACAGTAGCAAAAACTCACATCTTTCTTTGTTTGCTTTGATAAAAATAAGGCGAAAGGGGTGAGGGGAAGCAAAAAGGGGGTGAATGCAGAACAAGCCCTGAGTGACGCGGGCCACTCATGAAACCCAGCTGTCTTCAGGTACCCCTCTGGGGCCCAGAATGCACCAACCAGGGCGGAATGATGGCATATGGTTGTCTGTCGAGAATACTCCACTGGGAGTGTGTGGGGTGAGATGTGTGGGGGTAACGATCTTGCCAGATGGCAGTCACTGGCACCGGCCCTGTCTCTCGCTCTTGGAGGATCTGATGACACCAGTGGGAGTGGGATCCCAAGCTGGGTGCAGGGCTATCTGGGAACCAGTTCTGACAATGCCAGCTGCTGAGGGGCTCCCCCACCAATGCCGCCCCTTCCTCCCTCTCAGTGTGGAGGCATACCCTCAGGGGCCTAGTCTGGAAGTGATCCTGTCCACCCTAAGAGCTGCCAGCTGCACAGCTTGGGATGCTGGCGCAGGCCTCCTGGCACTAGCCACGCCCTTCTTGAATTGCTCTTGGTGCCTTTCTGGTGACAGGAACCTTGGTGGGGCCCCACCCAACAGAAGCCCTGACTCCCTGCACAGCCCGCCTCTCCTGTCCAGCTCGGCTGCCTCCAGCTTCCCCTAGGCCCTGCCCCCCTCCCTTGTGGCTCTCTGCCCTTAGCACGCTTCTTGAGTATATGCAGGCCCTTTGGTCTGTCTACCTGGCTCCTTGGAAGCCTGTTTGAGGTTCTCCCTGTTTTGTAAAACCATTAACAATAGGAAGCTTTGGAACCTGCAGGCAAAGCCAAGGCCCCCTGCTTTCCGAGGCTGCGAATGACTTGCCTGTCCCCTATGGAGACAACGGAACAGGAAGAAGCATGAGGGCAGGGAGCCAAAAGTATTCCCTGGCCTCACGTGTCGTCTGGGGGTCTGCGGGGCAGGATAACGTCACGGTGCAGTAAGAACAGCGGCTACAGTCACAGGGATGCTCGTCACACACTAGACCCCGTGCTCACCCTCAGGAGCAGTATCTTGTCTAATCCTTACACCCATCCTATGAGGTAGTAACTACTAGTTCCCGATTTTACAGAGGGGGAAACTCTGAGAAGTCAAGTAATTTGTCCGAGGTCCAGAGGCAAAGGACGTGGGACTCTAACTCGGATCTGCCTGCTCCCAAGGCCTGTTCTCTTACCCTCTCTGCCGTGCCACCTTGGTTAGATCCCCAGAATGCCCTTGCTTTTTTGAAGTCCCTATGTCATATTTACTGAACACTTGTGCCTGTTCCAGGCATGATGCTAAGCTCATTACATGTATTAGCATATATGAGTCACCCAATCACCTGTAAGGTGTATCTCCTATGACAGACCTGGAGGAAAACTGAGTCTCCAAGAGGTTACCCAGCTTGTATGTGATTGAGTCAAGAGTTAACTCAAGCCTGGGAACTTCCGGCCCCAGCGTTCTCATCTCCTAACCCTCCCTTCCCGCCCCTAGAAGCCCCCTTTGTAGTTTTCTCTGTCTGGCACTGTGGTGATATTCATTGTGGAGCCTTGAGGATGCCTGTCCCCAAGAATCCATGATTTCTAAGCCGATAGGTCATTTTGCTTTGGATCAGGGACTAGCTAAGGGAAGAGATGGGCCCCAAACAGGTGTTACTTATCAGCACAGAGGGCATTTGGATGGGGAGTGAGACCTAGACTGCTTTTAAGAATATTTTCCTTTTCTTCCCTCCCTCCCCTTCCAAATTAGGGTGAAGGTTGCCGAACCGTCCCCCTGGCTGGACATGTGGGGTTTGACAGCTTGCCTGACCAGCTGGTGAATAAGTCAGTCAGCCAGGGCTTCTGCTTCAACATCCTGTGCGTGGGTGAGTATTTCCATTGCAGGAAATTCTATTACAGAATATGGATCCTTAATGGCTGGATGTGGCTTTGCAGGTAATTAGGTTAAATAGTGTGTCATTCTGGTCTATTTACAAGAGTGTCCCCCCCTTTTATCCTTCTGCTTATTTTTGTAAGCAGCTGACTATAATTACATTTTTCCCTATGCAGCCATACCTTGGGGGAGACTGAGCTGTATGACATCCAGTGGAAATTTTGTAAGAGAGCTGGCCGGCTCAGCTACTCTAGTCAGGTTTGTTCTGACTGCAGAAAACAGGAGCCAGGGCAGGCCTGGGAGGGAGGCAATGGCCGTGGAAAGATGCCTGCCTACCAGCTGTGGCCAGTGGGTTGGGGTTGGGTCTGTCTGTTTCCTCCGCAGCCCTGCTGAGCTTGTTACAGTTTGAGCTCAAGCACGGGCACCACACAGCTGTGTGCAAAGTTCTTTTATTCCCCTCAAATATATCTCTGTCTGGCCCTTAAGTCTCAAGTGTGGGAACCATGTCTGAGTCACCTCTAAGGTACTAATCGCAGCACACAGAGTTCAATAATGTATGTGAAATGGATGAATGAATTAACCCCACAGGAGCCACTCACTATACTTCTCAAACACTTTCCTGTATCAGCAATTTGGGTCCTTACAGGGCTCTGTGGAGTGAACAGAGCGTGTGGCATTCATATCCTCATGGTGCAGATGGAGCCAAGAAACCTGGGAGGATAAGGGACTTACCTGAGGCAACACAGAATAAGTGGCAAAGCCAGGACAAGGACCCAGGTCTGCCTGACCCTTTGTCCCTGCCACTGCTTCTCTAACCGCTGCCAGCAACATCTCTTGAGAATGCCAAAGCACTTTGGAAACTGTTAGGCACCAGACAGACAAATCTGAGAAACAGCAGTTCCTTGACATTCTTTAAGAATCTCTCCTTAGACCTCCAATAATCCCAAGTTTGCAAACACAATCACAGCATATAATTTTCACCGTACAGTGCCATAAAGCATACCTACATATTTTCAGTGACCTACCTCCAAACCTTAATGATTGTCTAAATACCATAATGACAGCAGTTTTCATGCCAGTTGGAACACTCACACTCTTTGGCTAATTGCTTTTTCTTATTTTCACAGAGAGTGGGTGGGGAATTCATTCATGTTGAGGGTCTGAACATTACTGAATTGCATATTCTACTTTCTATTGTAGCTTAAAGTTCTGTTTTCTAACAAAGGTCATTCATTTTCTTGGACTCTTTTTTTTTCTTCTACTCCCCAGCACTCTTCCTTGGATCCTTGAGTACACTCAAGGACAAGTAGAGAAAACAAAGCCACTTCTAAATATGGGTGATAGGAGGTCAGCTAGGCTCACTCACTAGTGAAATGACTTACTCCCTCACACTAGCTTTGGAACCTATGTGATGAAAATATGTGCTTCACAGACTTACAGATCATGGGCCTGGGAGTCCATATCTAGGCTGTTAATTCTTCACATGCTGAAAGTCTACTCAAGGTTGTGGCGAGGCGCTCTTAGGAGAGGGATGCAAAAGAAACAGAAGTCATAGTCACGGACATCAAGACCAACTACTATCACATCAGTATTAGGACTGCCAAATCGCTTCCATCTTTGGCTAATGGCCAACTTACTTCACATAATATTTGATTACCGAAAAACTTCCACACAAACATTGGATTTCCTCGGCATTCCTCCTAGAGCTCTGTGTGACCTGTACTAAAGTTGAGTGGCTAAGAAGTGGAATGACAGGCCCACTCTAATCAACGTTTCAACCAAGTGCAGCCTGGGGCGGGGCTAGTAAAGCTGTAGGGAATACATGTAGGCCAGAATGGCTCTTTGAGGGTGGAAGTGTAGGGTAATGGGACATGTGGACCACAGGCTCCCCTAGGGCCCGGAGGAATAAGCAGCCAAGCTCAAGGCAAAGTGAGTGGGAGAAATAGTAAACCCCTGCCCACACAGTGTGCACCTGCTGGGATGGAATCGCTTGACTGCCTGGGACAGACCCTCCAAGAGGGGAGGGCTGGGAAGGAGACCTTCGCACCCAAGGAGTCATCCCTTCTCCAACTCTCCCCGCTTACTAAGTTTCAGGAAATGGCTGCCCTAATAGCTCTCCTCTTAGCCCTGCAGGTGCACCCCTTGGATGGACTGGATTAATTTCATTCCCCATCCTTGATCCAAAAAAAGCTAGAAACTCATGCATCCTGCTCTCTGGCTGGGCCCACAACCCTGTCATTGCTCTGAGAATACTCAATTTGGGCCAAAGTCATGAGCTGCTTACAGTGGTGTTAAGACTGCAATCTCAGCCCAGCCAGGGGGCTGGGTACTGTCACTGGCTTCATGAAGGGCCCATAGCTTGGCTGTTGAAGGCGACCTTTTCTCTCTCAGGACCTTTAGTGAGCATACTCTGACGCCTACCATCTGTGCATAATGATCAGGTTTACTTCCTTAATGACTGTTATGAAACAATTGTGTTTGGGCATAGACTGTGTTTCCCCAAAGGGTTTTTTTCTTCATTGATAGGGCATTTTAAGTGTAAAATTATGGTAACACTAGCTTTGGTTATTAACAGAGACCTAGGATATTTTTATCACGACATCATGTATCTTGGTGCTGGGCCGCTGATCAGAGGCCCCAGCCTGGCAGAGTGAGTATGTGCGCATGTGCATGCTGGGCTTGAGAAAGAATCCAGAGCATAACCTATACATAGGGGCATCAATAAATGATAAACTTTTTAGAGGGATAGGCACATGGGCGTGACTAGGCCCATGGCTCCTCTCCAACAGATTCTCTACGGTTAACAATAATGACCAAGTGGGGTGAAGTTCTCCTCCCCTAGTAAAAATCTCCTAGTTCCTTAGCTTTGGAAATCACTAGGATCCCATGATTCTGGATATAGTTCAGGAGGCTTCAGAGGAACCACCAGAGTCAGCCGTGCAAATGTTCTGCTGGGAAAGAGCCCCAAGAAGACTCAGCCCTCCTAATGTGGCAGCAACAGAGAATGCCTGGGACGAGGACAAAGGGTCATAATGATATTTACTTTGAAGCTGCTCAAGATTCCAGGCTCCACTGGGCTCTGTTGAACTCGGGGGGAAAAAAAACACATACAAGAGAAGCAGGATTGCAGCTCAGCGCAGGAGGAGGGGAAGGGCAGCTAGCATATTCTCAAGGTCAGGGTACGATTGTTTCATCCCTCCGTCTCTGGGAGAGGCAGTTGCCCACCTGTCTCAGGCAGGCTGCTGGTGGGGGTGTGCTGGTCAGCCTCTAACAACCCACTCTCAGGAGAAAAGTAGCCTTTGCCGATTTCCGTGATGTCATTATTTCTACCAGAGCTGGTTTTGAGCTGCCGACAAGACGTCACAGCATGTGGGATTGGGAAGAGCTGCAGGGAGCCCTGCGAGCCGGCTCCAGCCCAGCCTGGCCTCTGCAAGATCAGGAAGGAGTAGAGGGCAAGGTCACAGCGCCAGGCAAGACCTTGTCCCCGTCCATAGGCTCCCTTGGCCAACAGGAGTTCCTTGGGGAGTTTCCTTTTGAACACCTCCTTATTGAACTCCAAGACATTTATCTTGGCTTATTCCCACATTCGGAGCTGGAAGAGACAAGCTCCGTGTGACAGAGTTCCATGCGAACAGGGATTATGGCTGTCCTGTTCGTTGCTGTATTCCTGGCCTCTAAACCTGTTCCTGGCTCCTATTGGAGGCTCTGTCAATATTTGTTGAATAACTGAATGAACCAACCTCCCACGTCTGTGGGCCACACTAGAGCATGCTGGTTATAAGCACAGTCTCCTGTGTCAGACTGCCTGGACTCAAACACCGGCATCACCACATACTACTTTTGTGACCCTGGGCCAGTTCTTCCTCCACATTTTATAGACAAGAAAGGTCATGTACAGAGAGACTGAAGAGCAGGGGCAAATTCACACAGCTAGGAAGTGGCCTGGTTAACCCATCTGTAAATTGAGGACAAATAGTAGTAGTACCTCATCCGTAAGCTTATTGTGGGGAATAAGTAAGAAAATATATGTAGAGTACTTACAGTGGTACCCACATAGTAAGTGCTCCAGAAATGACAGTTATTATTATTACTACTCTAACGTGCTCATTTGATGGAAAAGGAGACTGGGGTCCAGAGAAGGGGAAGGACTCAGCTTGTGTCACACAGTTGTTTAGTGATAATCTGCCTGGGACTCTGCATTTCATCACTTGCAAAGACTTAACTGCACAAGATACCAGAGGATGCAAATGTTCACAGCAGATGAAGAAAAGGCCTAAGCTTTATTACAGTGGTTTTGAACTCAGGATAGAGAGGTCAACGTCAGACTATCCCAGGAAGTATAGTTTGTAAAAGCATATGTCATATTCCACATTGTAAACTGAAATTCGTTTTTAAAACCCTGGTGTTTCCAGGAGCCTATCTATGTTAAGCCAAGTGAGAGGAAATCCTCTTGGCCGGTGGAGATGACTTAAAAGGGGTTAAGAAACCCTGCTGTCCACTCTGAGGAGGGAGGAGGAGAGAGAAATGGACCCCTTGGGACTCCTCAGGTTTCCTGCTGGAATCTAATTGCCAGGGCCCCACCTTCCTGCCGGGGGTGTCGGAATGTGCTGACCCGATCCGGGTTAGGCTGCGAGTGGCTCCCCTCCCCACCTCAATGCTGGGCCCAGGGCAATGTATGAGGGGACAGCAACCCAGGCTCAGGCTGGGACTGTGCCAGCCATCGTGAGAGACCCCCCCCTCTAGGCTCCACATTGATGGAAAACTGGAATGGGAGCTAGATAGCAATGGGGCGAGCGCGCTGGTTTCCTGCCCTCTTCTTAGGTTGCATTTATCACGATTCCCTAGACACCCGCCGGGTCTTTTCTTCCAGACACTCATCACTGAGCGTCTAATTTCCACAGCCCCCTTGTGCTGGCAGGCATCTGGGTGGTCATTTTCCCTGTCGCCCTGCCCTGCCCTACCCGCCAGGCCTCCTTTTCTCCAGCTGCACAAACAGGGCGGGGCCCCTCCCTCTGGCACTGCTCCTGAGGCCTCTGGGTGAGCGTTGGGCTAAGCACTCTGGGGACTGTCAGAAGTTGCCCATCCTGCAGTCTGAGAATTCTTAGTATCAGGGAGTCAGGGCGCCAGCTCTGGGTGTTGGGGAGTCAGGGCCCACCACCCCCTAGGAGCTGCGGGGCATTCAGCAAAGAGCTCAGGGAACAGAAGAGAGGGCCTGGAGGTGAGGATGTGAGTGGAAAATGCACATACAGAGGCAGGTTAGAATGTAGCTTGAACCTCAGCGCCCAGAGGGAAGGCGAGTTGGGGGAGGGAGCCACCCGGTGTTCCCATCTCAGAGGTGCTGGCCCTTTGCCATAGAGCTGCACCCCGACCTGGGCAGGGAGGGGGCGATGCGTTCCTTTGCTTGGCCAAGTCTGCCACCTCCCATGGCAAAGACTCCCACCTCACCAGATTTTTTTCTGGGAATCCAAATACTTCCTATTCCTTTAGGGAGGGAAAAAAGGGCCTCTTCTGGGATAGTCTTTGCTGCTAATAGGTACAGCAGACCCTGACTGGAAACACGATCTGTGGGAGGAACCATTTCCCTGCACCCTGGCAATCAACTCCATTAGCCAGCCCTGACTATGAAGCTGGGCTGGGGGGCCGGGTAGCCAGGCTGAGTTGAATGTTCTCCTTGTTCTCTGTCTCTCTCTCACCAAGCTCTCCACGCACAGAAAGCTCTCAGCCTAGACAGATATTTTTAAAAGCACCTCCTGCATTCATAGCTCATTATTTGGGATGAAAGAGGCGTGCAAGATGCAAAGCTAGACACACCCAGAAGGTGGAGGGGAGAGGGACCATTTAGAGTTATGGGGTGGGCAGCTCTACCCCCAGCCCTGGACTGCCCTGCAGATAGGTGCTGTTGGTTACGGGGGCGGGGACTTGCCAGGCCAGGATTTGCCCAGGGCAATCTAGGAAGACTTGTCATTCTCACATCTTAAGGGGCTGGAGCAGGGAAGGGGAGAAGAGAGGTGATGATAGCAGAACAGCAGGGTAGCCCAGGTCTTCAAAGCGCAGTCCTTGGCTTCTGGCAGGGGTTTGATGTCCTCTGCCTCTCAGGAATAACCTCCCAAAACCTTCACCAGTCCCCACAGCCCTTCCCCTCCTTGTCTCCCTGGTGTGAAAGTCAAGACTTTTGAAATTCCAGTGGTTTAATTTATTAGTATCCTGCAGTCTGTTAGTTAAACAAACAAATGACTGGTTTGTTTGAAATGTAAAAGGAAGAATAATTTGTGGCCTGCTAAATTCCCTCCCCATTAGCTAAAAATGGTCTTCCCACTGGGATACACACCCGAGCATCTGCAGAGTGCTGTTTGGGCCTGGCAGGGAGACACGGGGGGGGGGGGGGCGTGAGAGGAGAGGATATTTATTTGATGAGGGACCGCTGTCCCTGTCTTTTAAACTTGAAAGTAGCCCTTCAATTTTTATTGTTAAAGCTACACATGTTCCTTGTAGAAAACTTGGAAAATAGAGAAAAGCATAAAGGAAGAAATGAAAACCACACATAACCCCACCACCCAGAAATGACCATTGGTAAGAGTATCTCGTATATCCTTCCAGTCTTTTTCTGGGCTTGACTCTTACCTCTCTATCACTGCCTTGAACCCAGTTTCTTCTTCTGACTATCAAAATAGTGCATACTCAATTTTCAAATAACAACAAATATGAAGACTAAAAGGAAAACTACGCCAATTCTACTGTCCTGAGATGACTATTGCTAATATGTTGTTATAGTTCCTTATAGTCCTTTTCACTTAATGGAGATCAAACAGTTCGTATAGTTCTCTGTGCTCTTCACTTAGTGTCTTATTGAATGTACCTTTTCCCATGTTAATGAATATGCACCCCAAGCATGATGTGTAACGGCCGCATGGTCACTGTGTGAATGGATTATAATTTATCCTTTCATTTCTCAGGGGAGACAGGTTTGGGCAAGTCCACCCTCATGGACACCCTGTTCAACACCAAGTTCGAGGGGGAGCCAGCCACCCACACACAGCCGGGTGTCCAGCTCCGGTCCAATACTTACGACCTTCAAGAGAGCAACGTGGGGCTAAAGCTCACAATCGTTAGCACAGTGGGCTTCGGGGACCAGATCAACAAGGAGGACAGGTAAGGAAGGCAGTGGGGTGGGGAGGCTGCTGGGAGGCCACGGGGAGGAGCTCACCACAGGGGTCCTGCTGGACCTCCGCTCAGCTGACGCAGGCAGGGAGCAGGTACCTCACTAGCACCGCCTCTGCCCAGGATCCATGTCTGTTTACTCCACGCGCTTTCCATTCCATTCGACAGACGTTTATGGAGCTCCGGCCTGACATGCTCTGACGATCTAAGAAGGAATGACTTTGTCTCTGCCCTTGAGGCACTCACGGGGAAGCCTGGTTTTAAACAAATGAGTTCTCTGGAGTGTGGTATGCTCTGGTGAGGACAGGGCACACAGAGGTAAAGGGCACGTTATAATGAGAACACGAAGGAGAGAACAGTCAGCTCCACGCTGGCCCTTGAAGGGTGAACGATTTTGTAAGACAGACAAAGGAAGGTTGGAAAGGGCCGTTCAGGCAGGGGCAATGGCTGATACAAAGGCAAAGAGATGTGGAAGACTGTGGCATGCTCTGGGGAACTGTGCTTGCTCTGTTTGGTGAGACCAGGGGCAGAGTTACTGTGAAGCCACTGAAGCTTGTTTCAGGCCCTCACTTACCCAGCCCCCTGCAAGGCCCTGGAACTAATTTCTAGTCATAATGTTGGTTTCTTTTTTCTTGAAGGGCCCTTCAAATCCTATGAGCTTAAGGCCTCATGACACTGGTCTGCCCCTGGCCTGGCACTTGGCATGAGCTGGGGGAAAAGTGTGGGGGAGATGAGCCTGAAGAGGTCAGTAGGGGCCAGATTATGGAGAGGTTTCTAGCATGTGTGGATATAGAGCCATTGAAAGGCTTTATGAAGTAGAATGATGTAGTCTGATTGAAGAAGGGGTTTGGGGTAGGATGGAGATGGGCTGGAAGGCAGGAAGACCAATTAGGAGACCGTTGGACCAATTCCATCAAGGCAGCGGTGAAACAAGTGCTGAGATAGTGACGGGCAGACACATTTGATAACTGTTGAGTAGGTAGAGCCAACAGGACTTGGTAGAGACTCGATGTAGGAGTGTGAAAGCAAAAGAAGAACCTAGAATGAGGCCTAGGTTTCTGGCTTTGGAGAGTGGACAGATGGTGGCAGCAGTCAATAAGTGAGGTCATCTGAGAGAACCAGGTTTTAAAAGAATCAGCTCTGTTTTGGACACGCTGGGTTTGAGCTGCCCGTGGACCATAGAGAGACGTGATGACCTTTCTCGGTGGGCAGCTGCATAGGCAGGGTTAGAAGTCATGGGAGAGTCTGTGCTGGAAATAGAGTCTTGGGTTATCAAGGTATAGGTGATATGTTCCAGCTGCAGGCATACACAAGCTCATCCAGGGATCAGAGTTGAGTGAGATTAACACTGGGTCACAGACAAAAACCTTGGGATGTTAAATCAGCAGATGGAGGAAAAGACATCCTGGAAAGAGACTGAACGGGGAGTAAGCAGAGAGGTAGGAGGAGAGGCTGTGGGTGGTTGAGAATGGTGTTCCAGTGAGGGTAGGGGTGAGGCTCAACTGAGGATGTGATGAGGGCTGGGTTGGGGGGGGGTCCGGCACCCATCTGCGTTTAACTAAATGTCACATGGTTATCACACGTGCTCTTTGCAGAAAAGGCCATTCATCATTTTGAGCAAAGTGTCTGCTCATCCTTTGAGGATGCTCTTGCTTCTTAGATGAACTGTATCCCAAATTCTCCTCTTTCTCCCTTAAAGTTACAACAGCCATATTCATTTCCTTATAATGAAGAAATATATTTAGCTCCTTAATTGAACTGACTTCTGTTTTCCATTTGAAATTCCAGATGAAGGACACCTCGGTTTTTTGTAGGCTTGCTTATTGTGCTAATCTTGTTTGGTGGAGAATAAATTAGACCCTGGGGAAAGGAGATATTTGGGTCACAATACAAGTGATTCATCTCAGCTGCAGATTGCTCAGCATCTCAATTAAATTTCTCCTGGTTCTCAGTAACATACATTCAACATGTCTAACACTGGAAAATGCCTTGATAATTATGGTTTAGGAGGGCACAACTGATACAGCCCCTTAGAGGCTAATCTACTTCTATTATATGTGTAATATCTTTATTGTTTTTCCTGATTATAAATATGATACGTACTCATACACAATCAAATAATACAAACTGCAAAAAGAAATGAGAAGCCTCCTTAGAATTGGGCTGGGGAGCAAGGTGGAGTCAGTGCCAGGGATTTGCAATAAAAAGCCATGTTTTCTCCATTCTGACAGAGCCATGTGGGCATAGTTCTGTCAGTGCAGCCACATTGACATAGAGCCTCAGGAGGCCCTGCTTTACCTAGGGCGCAGGGCCAAACTGAGACAAGCAGTGACAAAGGCCATATCCCGGGAAAAGCCACCCTTGGAAAGATGCTGGACCAAAAGGAACTCAAGAGGAAGACAGGACAGGCTGGAAGGAGGTGTCCTTAGTAACATAGGCTTTGATCTCAGACAGACCTGGGTTCAAATCCCATCTTGCCACTTATTAGGCCAAGGATCTTGGACAAATGTTTTGTGCTGGTCTCATCTTATCCATAACCAGTGTTGTGGCTGGACCAGCCCTTGTGGTTCTTATCATCATTGCAAGACGCCCTCAGCAATAACCATCGGGAAACTGTGGGTGGGGGGGAAGATGTATTACTGACAGGTCCTGGAAAGGACAAGGCACACCTGGGGGCTACACAGGGAGATCATGGGTAGGAAAAAACCTGCGCACAGGGCCTCATTCGGGTTCTGCTTTCATTCGGGTTGGGAGTGGGAGGCCTATGGTTTTGCAGGCTTGCTCTTTATTGGTGAATTTAAAACATAAGAGCAGGAATTTAAAACATTGGGAGAGAAAAAACAAGCAGCCTAAATGGTCAGTGATGGAAATCAACCAAGCTCTTTAAAACAAAGCGTAAGGTAGGGGGTCGGAGGGGCTGGTTCCTTATCTTTAGGTGGCTGGCAGTGTGTTTACTCGAGATAGCTGACCTTGAAGCGGATGCCTTTTTGAAGTGGATGTCTCTGAAATCAAAGCTGAAACCAGGCACTTGCATTACAAAAACGCAAGTTACAACTGTCAGGGCTGATACCACAACTAGGCACTTACATTCTCTATACCCCAGTCTTCTGTCAAGTGGGGATGATGATCATACTAATACCTGCCCGGAGGCTTGTGGTGAGGCGGACTCAACATGTATAGCACAGGAAATGCTTAAATAGTGCCTGGCACAGAAGATATCATGATGATCATGAGTTTTATTGGTAGAAGAATCGAGGGAGAGTTGTATCATGTAGCATATGGGAGGGAATGATAAATGGTGTCCAGGAAGATAAAAACTGAAAACTATCTATTGGGTTTGAAAACATGAAGGTCATTAATATACTTAGGAATAATAATTACAGATAAATTACGGGTAGAAACTAGATTGCTGTGAGTGAATGGCAGGTAAGGAAGTAAAGGCATTAGAATGGCAAAAGGAGCGACTGAACAGAAAAATGAGTCCAAGATCATATTCATGTTTATATGGCAATTTAGTGTATATAAGTTAGCAGGGGAAGAATGGACTATTTAAGAAAATGTGCTGGGAAATAGGCCATCCACTAGGAAGAAATAAGATGAGACCCTCCCACACAAACACTATTCACAAAAATAGATTCCAGTTGGATTAAAAACAAATTCTAAAAATATGAGGGGAAAATATAGGAGAAGATTTTTATCACTTTGGAAGTAGAGAAGGCTTTTCTAATTGTGACACAAAATCCAAAAGTCAAAAACACTGATAAATTTAAATTCATTAAAATGAAAAAAAAACCCCTTTGTATTGTGAATGGAAAGATGTTGCCTCTCGGTATCAGTACACAAAGGATGTTGTGGCCATTTAGCCAACAGCCACGGCAGCCGCCCCCAACTGAGGACCCTGAGGGGATTCAGGATGGAGAAAAACAGGATACTGGTCCTAGATAGTTAAGATGCATATCAAAGGAATGATTTCAATGAGCCCAGGCTCTTGCATCTCTCCATATGCAGAAAAGTGCTAAATTCATTAACTTGAGATGTCTGGTTTTCTTCAATAATAATCTTTTGATGTTCTAACTACTTGGTTTTTGTTGCAAAATCCCCTATATATCCTGGCTCCTCCCTTACCTCTTCTTTTTTTTTAATTTTATGTATTTATTTGGGGAGAAGGTAATTAGGTTTATTTATTTATGTTTTTAGAGGGAGTACTGGGGATTGAACCTAGGACCTTGTGCATGCTAAGCATGTACTCTACCACTTAAGCTATATACCCTCCCTCTCTCCCTTACCTCTTGTAAGCAGTCCCTCAGTGCTATCTGAGAGGCTGTCTTCCGGGCTTAAGTCCTCAGTTTTGTCCACCAAATAAAATGTAATTCTCAACTTTTAGGTCTGCATTTTTTCCAGTCGACAGTCTATTGAAAGATACCATAAACAAAAGTAAAAATAAACTACAGATGGGGAGAAAATATTTGCAACCTATAAACCAAAGGATTTTTTTCTAAAATGCAAAAAGATCTTCTACAATTCAATGAGAAATAAACAGGCAATTGACAGAAAGGGAAATGTAAATGGTCCATCAACATATGAAATGATGGTCATTCAACTTCATCAGGGATTAGGGAAATGCAAAATGAAACAATGAAGTATTTTTTAATCTATCAGATTGGTAAAAATAAAAGATAAAAATATCCTATCCACCAACATCGAGTACTTTCATTCATGTTGCTGTGAGTGTAAATTGATAAAGATTTTTTTAAAGGGCAAATTTGATGGTATCTATTAAAAATTTAAATGTGACTATTTTATGAGCCAGCAGGTCCACCTTTAGGCATATACTTTAGAGAAACAATTGCACAAGTTCATAAAAAGCAAGGATGTTCACTGTAGCATTCATTATGGAATAAAGAAATTTTTTAACAGTCTAAATTTCCACACCAACAGAGCAACTTAATGAGCTATTGTACAACCATACCATGGAATTGTATTTGGCAGTG